TATTCAGGGAAGAGGTATACTGTTCCAAATTTTTTGATTACTCATGGAAATGGGTTAGATCAGACTTTTGGTAATGGAAATGCAATTTTATGGCTTGTTTAATGATTTCTTTGGATTTATATTTCTTACTTTGCTGAATTAGTAGTTAAGAAAGTTTAAATTATTGATATTTTTAAAAAGAAACTCTAGAATTTGCTCTAAAATAAAATTTCATTGAGCTGCCTAATAAGTTCATTGTATATTTGTTAGTTTGTGTTTCCTCATTTCAGCTTAGAGGTCCAAAAGGCTCTAAAATATCATGTTAATTTTAAAAATCCACAAAATATTTTTTCAATGGTGTTTCAAAGTATATTTAAATTATAAGCATATTTAAAGGAAAATCAAATTTTCATTCAAAACATATTCACTTTGATCTGGGCATCAGTGTATTTAAACATAATATTCTTGGAATTCTGCATAAGAAAGATTAACTGGGTGAGTGGTTGCTCTGGGATTGAATTTGATATCTATTAAAAACACATTAATTTCTTCATGCTCAAGGATAATGAAACCTAGTTTTCTAAGCATATATTAAATTGAAGTTAAATAATTTACTGAAGACAAAACCACATCACCCATGTACGCTTGCTTACTGAATGAAGTCAAAGAACACCAATAGCCAAGGGTGTAGTTTTTGTCAGAGAACTTATGCTAAACAGAATTTGGACCTTCCTAAAGAAAACAGTCCTCTCAGCTAAGTTTTTCTTAGAAGCCAGTGCCAAAGCCATCCAAATGAGTGTCTGTAGCTGTCACTGCTTCCCTTAGCTCCATGTTGACCCCAAGTTATGCCTTGCTTTGTCTTCAGAGCTGAATCCACTCCTTTTTACTGCCTTCCCAGTAGCCTCTCCTTTTCAGAGTCCAACAGGTTTAGAAAGACCTCTCTACAGCTGAGTGATGTCTAGTGGTTCAAAGTAAATTCAAAAAGTTATTCAGATGTTTTGATGTAGCATGAAACTGTTCAAATGTGTTGTATGTAATTTATATTGTGGAAATTATAACAAAATATGATATGTTTTGGTTGTGGTGTCTTTCCAATGCAGACAAATGGAAGTTTTATCAAGTTTTATTAGTGCTTGAGGGGCGATGATTTATTCTTTTTTCTTTTTTAAGAAATTAAATTATCAAGAAGATGTTGGATGGGTTTATTAGTTGAAGCAGAGCTTTAATCAATATTTTCTTCAGATTTTATTAAAATATCTTCCCCTTTACCTTTTTAGCACCTTGTATATCTTTTATAGTTATATATTTAAATGTACATTTATATAGTATATACTTTGATTGTGCTGTAATATATTGCTGAGGGCAGTAGAAGTACACATGTGAATGACTTATTGATACAATTTTTGTTATCTCTCAGTGATGGCACCTCAATTCTGTTGCATCTGCACAGACACTTATGGCAGATTTGTGATGTTAGATCTGAAACCTGAAGGCTACTGCTGCTAATGGGACTGAAATCAATTAGTCTACTAAATATTAGTCCTTATGAATGCAGTCATCTGTCTCCATATTTAGCAGTACAAATGGACCTCTCATTACTGTTCTTACTTATCTTCCTCGGTGATTTTTAAAACCATTAAGGAATAATTCAGCAGAATCCTCTTAGTGTATTACAACTGGTAATGATTCCTTTATAATGACTCCGATCAAAAAGGAAGGGATTGGTTGTATCACCTAGTTCTAGTAGTGGTCTTTTATTTTACTGTGAAATTGGACATGTACCAAAGAGGGGTACATGAGGGAAGCCCCGAACGAATTCACTTTTTCCCAGAACAGCTGTACTACACTAGCATTATACTCCCCAGAGTTCTGTTTGAATAGATCTTTTACATCATGCCTTTTTTTTTTTTTTTTTTTTTTTTTCTGAATAGGTATATAGGTATTTAGGTATTTAGGTGATATTCTTGGAAACATGGGAAGAGAGTGTACTTCTTCAGATCTATCAAGAAGGTGTTATTTATTTCTGGGTGTAGTTTAACATAGGTAGCACCTCTACTAAATATTTGCAATATCTCCACTGATCTGATAAAATAAACATACGCCTGTGTATTCAAACAGATTCACAACAGCCTGATGCAAAGATGAGATGCAAAGAACTCAATTTTTTATTAATCCATTAGTTAGTGTACAGTAATAATTTGTGACTACATTTCTGCCATCTTCATCAGAGCTTATACTATCTGCAGCTCTTGAGACAGATTTAGAAGTACAGTGAAATTTTCTGAATGTGTTGTCTCTTTGCAATGTTTTGCTTTCAGTAAGTAACAAGTGAGTATTCTCTTAGCTTCATTTGCCTGCCTACTAAAAATCAGAGATTTCTAGATTAATAACGAGCAATATTTTTACTTCTAGATTGCATGCATGAAGCAATATTTTTTTTATTTTCATCAAGCAGCGCTAAGAAAATGGTGAGGCTGGGAAAATGGAACAGATGGTTTTATATTTTTTCTATTCTGTGAATATTAAAGTACCATATGTAGAAAAAAATATTTCCTTTTGGTTTCAGAGACGTAGCTAGCATCTCCATAGAGTTTATGTAGTTGCACTCATGCTAAGAAATTTAAATGGATTTGAGCCCTCTGCCAAAACTGTGTTAAAATCTCAAATATCTATTTATTTATGAAGGAAAATATTCTTACTTTTACACTGCTCATCATGCCACTGCTTGCATTCTACCTGACATGTATTACCTCATCTATTGCGTTTATATAGTTCGACATCAGTTATTGGAATTAAGAAATGCAATTATCCTTGAAGCAACCCTGATGAAATATGTATTTTATATATATTTCACTGCTAATGTATATATTTCTGGAGCAAATGTACAAGATTACTCTTTAAAATAATATGCTATCAGAAAAATTGTAATGTAGATTGTGACATGGAATAAATATCCAAGCTCTTCAAGTTTCCTCATGGTTGTATATATTAGTACCTTGGTTTCCACCAGCAGTTATAGGTCTTGAGGCTGTATTAAAAGTTTACCTGATAGGTAAATAAAGAAATGAGGCTTGGAGTAGCCTCCTGGATGATTGATTACGCTTGATTCTCATTACAACAAAATGTAAAATTTTCTGTTAAACTAATTTCCTTTCTTACACGTAAGTTTTGCTTTTGGTTTTGGTACCAAGGGTGTAAAGACCAGAGATGAGAACAAGCCAGTTCTTGAGCTCTGTGTGTCCTAAAGGAGCCTTCATTGTGCTCCTCACTATTGCATTGGAAATTCCACTACTCCCTCCTGTCTACTACTAAATTCCAAATATTTACAGTCCCCTTCAGCTTCTTTCTGGACTAGGCAGTCTTACCATCTTCCTGGTTGTCTTTATGGACTGAGAATTTTTTGTTTTAGCAGAGTGCATGCAGATATTTACCTTTGCCTGAGGCAGGATATGTTCTTTGTGGCTTTTTACTGGTTTTTTTTTATTCTTAGATATTTTCTTATGGGAGGAGGGTATAAGATATTAATATTCAGTAAAAAGCAGAAAAGTCAGTTGTGATGATCTTCTTAGGAAAAGCATTCAAAATTCAGGAAATCTCATGAAAAATGTTATGCGCTGTACAGATATTTGATGTTTAAATTTCTTTCTTTGTGGAGAATTTTTGTGGAAAGTACCCAGTTCTGTGTAATTTAGATTGGCAGACTGATACTGAAGCAATCTTCACTTTTCTTTGCTTTTTTGGTGTAGCTTTAGATATGACTATTAGACCAAAAAAATATTCACATCTTGTCTAATTGCTTATTTAGGTTAATTACATAAAAGTTAATAGCAAATCTATTTTATTGTGCTTTTCTCTTAATTGTAATAGTTCTGATGTTAACATCCATGGATAGTGCTTTGCTGATAGTTTTTCTGTGCTCAGCTTTTCTTGAATTTTTACTGTCAACAGAACTGAATAGCTGTGGGTTTTAGCAAGTTTGAACTTAGATTATATTCATGGGTAAAATTTGTCACATAAAAAAGCTAGAGACTTAGTGAAAACACCTTTCTGCCTCTTTCCCATACTCCAGATACCACTCCCTCCTATTCCTGCCCTTTACTCCCGTTATTATCACCACCCATTCAGGGAACAGTCCTTTCAGTGATGGATAATGCAGGAGGCTGGGGTGAGGACATAATGGTTTTTTTCTGTTATTCCTTTTTTTTTCACTCTTTTCTTCCACTGCTCCTTCTGCCTAACTCATTTCCTCTTTTCTATTGTGGGTTATCCGTAGTCCTTTCAGGATGTGTTTGCTCTTTCATGGGCTCATGCATTGGCCAGAATCCTGGAGTGTTGCCAGATGTGCCATGGAACACCTCTTATCACTTTGGCCTTCTTGTCTCTCTCTTTGACCTTCTAAGGAGTGCTACAAACTCCTTCAGCCCTCTCAATTGTGTCCTGCAGCGGCTCCATCATGACCCAGCAAGAACTGCCTGTATCTGTCACAGCACAGATACTCTGAATTTCCTCCCCTGCAACCAGACCCACTTAAAAACCCTTGCTTTTTATATCCAATACATTCAAGTATGAGATTATTGTGGGAGGGAAAGCCAAAAGCCTTGATAGAGTCAAGGTAATTGCCACCCACTGTTCTCTTGTACGCAAAACTTATAGTTTTATCCTAGAAGATGGTGGAGTTAGTCAGACATGATTTGCACTTGCTGTGTGTGTTACAAATCAAATTTTTCTCATTTAATTTCTAGTCTGTGTTCACATATATTTCTATCACATTTTCCTTTTTTTCCCTTCTTTAATTTTGTCCTCAGGTATGGGACATAAGGCTGTCATCATTGTGCAACATCCTTATTTAGATTGTTTTGTCTATCTCAATATGTACGTCAAAACATAACTATGTTTAGTTAAAATTTCAATCTTTTAGAACAGGTTCAGTATATAGAATGAAAACAATATAAAACCTGACAATATAAGATTTAAACTGATAAATTCCCAAATTAATTTACAATCTACTTTATATTTTTCAGCTTTACTTCAAGTAACAATTTCACTTAGCAAAGTTGAGCTCAGTGTGGGTGAATCCAAGTTCTTCACATGTACAGGTATGTATTAATGTTATTTGTTGGTATATAATTTTTGTTAAATTTTGATTTTTAATGTATTTTAACTGAAGTAGTTGTTTCACATTATTAAATTAACATATTGTTGTACATTCATATTGACTTGTGAGAACTGTGGCAAATATTAGGACTTCACTGGCTCACATTTCCAGTCTAGGATCTCTTCATTTCACACACGGAATCAGTCTGAATTCTCTATATCAGTACAGGTAATTTATATCTGTTAGGATGCTTTTGTAGTTAAAATATTGTCGCTTATTTAAAATAAGGAATTAAATCCTCTCCAACCTAATGGCATAGCCAAAGAGACTTTTTTCTGGTGAGGCAGTAATCAGGCAGGTGGATAAGAATTTGCATTTGCAGATGATTGATATGGATCCTTCGTGGTGCTGAGTTGAGATCTTCCATTGACAGTGACACATGGCCTGACTACACTGACAGTGCAATTACCTGAAGGCTTGACCTGTTGATCCAGTCACTGACAGCCTGTTTCTTTCCTATAAGACTTCATACTTTTCTGTGGTTTTTTTCCCCCCTCTTGAGATCCTTTAGCTGCTATTTACCCAGTCTCAAAGGTTGTACATCTTCCTACAGTTTTGTCCTGCTTGTCTTTCTTACAACTCGCATAATTTAGCAATTAGCTGACATTGTAGAATCACAGAATCACTTAGGTGGAAAAGACCTCCAAGACTAACTTTTGACTGATGACCACCTTGTCAACTAGAGCATGGCACTGAGTGTCATATCCAGTCATCCCTTGAGCACCTCCAGGGTGATTCCACCATCCTGGGTAGCCAGTGCTTGACAACCCTTTCCACGAAAAAATTATTCCTGAATTCAGTTTAAATTCCTGACACTGCATGGACTGTGCATTGAGTAGGCATACACGTTTCACAATGTCCTTCTAAATGTCTAAATTGGTATCGGTTTTGGTTTTGTTTGTAGCCATTGGTGAGCCTGAAAACATAGATTGGTACAACCCACAAGGAGAGAAGATTGTTTCTGGTCAGAGGGTGGTTGTTCAGAAGGAAGGTGTCCGCTCACGCCTTACCATTTACAACGCAAACATAGAAGATGCTGGCATATACCGCTGCCAGGCAACAGATGCTAAAGGACAAACTCAAGAAGCTACTGTAGTTTTGGAGATTTATCGTAAGTAAAATACTGTCAGTTAACAAATAAAAGAGTGTGTTTCAAAATACACTAGCACAAAGAAAGTAAAGCCTCTCAAAATATCATCCCAAGCTCTGAACTTTATCTTCCAAATAATTGCATCTCGTGCAGTTTAGTATTAGACATTATGACAAAGATTTGAATTAATTGGAGGGCCACTTATAAGTATTGTAGATTGCTTTTCTCCTGTATTTTAGAATGCCATCTGATAAGGGGAAACTGTCTGGCCCTCAAAGAAATTAGAAAATAGGAGGAAAAAAATAGATCTGTATAATTCATATTACAAGTGTGTGTACAGTTTAAAAATTAGAAAATATTACAAATATGTGCATAGATAAAAGTGCAGGAAGTGTAATAGATTACATTTAAAAAGTGGATTTTTTAGTGAATTGTTATTTTAATCTCTGTCTTTTGCTATTCTTGGCCTTATGAATGAGTTTTGACATAAGCCGTTGAAGCTCAGTGTGATAAGTAACCAAAATGGATTTCAATTGCAAGCAACGATTTGAGGAGTATATTTCAAAAATAAATGCATTCTATTGTAGTATGAGATTCAGTGAGAGATTTGAGTAGCTTTTTTCTCAGTGTTGAATAGCTACATTGTATCGCATTCTTTAGATCAAAAATACCTGAAACCTGTGCATTAAACAAGCACAGTGAAGATGTAAGGCAAGATCTTTTTTGGTGAATGATGGGGCATATGACAGCAGCCCATCAGCTGAGTTAGGACTTACGTTCATTGGAGAACAGTTTTTTTAAATGTGAAGGAATTACAATGAGACAAAAACTACAGAGTAGAATGGTAAAGCACTGCTTCCGAGAGGTACAGATAACTCAGATAACAAAGGACATAGATTAAAAAAAAGTCTTCTGGTAAAACAACCGATAAAAGGTTGGTAGCAGTTAGAAGTGATTACATGGGGCTTGAAATCTCACAAGTCAAATGATTTCAATTTTCAGGAATTCATTTGTATGCATAAAACTGTCAGTTACTCCATTAGCAGAATGCTGAGAAAAGTAGAAATCTTTATAAGCATTTGCATGTGTAAATTTTAATAATTCTGAGATCAGACAAACCTGCAAACCTACACAAGTAATGTTAAGGTTTGTAGGAACAGACATGTAAAATTTCCTTATTCATATTTGTGATGTAAAAAGAAAGCAGGATTACTTGTTGGTATTCTTAGGGCCTGGTTTTGAGGACTCTCAGATGTCTGTGAGAGGTTTTTTTCTGACTTCATACAAAAATGTATGAAAGGCATAACAACAAAACTGTTCACCCTCTGCTGTGGGAAGTGTGTGGATTATTTGAGCCTGTACTCATATCAATACAAAAAGCAGAGATGAAGTTGCATCTCTGTCACAAGCTCCCCAAAGTTTACTCTGAAATGTAATTGGCCATCTTTGACCTAAGAGAACATAGGTTGGTTTGTTTATTCTGTGTGCAAGAATTCTTCCAGATTGTTTGTGTGTGTGTTAGTCAACTGCAATAGATCTTACATGGAATCATGGATTAATAGCATCTTGGTTTTCTAAAAATACTGGATTTATATGACACATGTGGAAAATCAAATATCATTTGGTTATTTGAGCTTGGAAAAATTAAAAGCCTCAACAGTCCTAAAACAATCTTGTTAGTTACTCAAAATAGTGATAGTTTCTTATGACCTAATAGTCATAATAGACCTAATAGTTTCTCACTGGCCTCTTAAGCTTGTATTTTACTCAGCTGTTCTTTTTCACAGTGAGTCAAAAATTCCACTTTTCACATGAGAATTTTCCATATTTTAATGGTTTTAATGGAAGGTTGAACAGAATAAAAACATGAAGTTTTAATTCAATAACAGAATAATGAGGAATAAAATCCATAAGAGAGTAAGTAAACTGTCAACATGAAAATATAAACTTCCAAGACCTAGAGTTTAAAAACTGTGTTTTGGAGCATTGAAAACAATTAAAATATGCTTATAAAACCTGCAGAATGTATATAAATAAACAAAATTTTGCATAATACAAAAGGATGGTAAAGTAATTTTTACAGGCAGAGTCCAGGATGATTTGAATCTTATGTGGGAAAATTATGTTATGGAAATAATTCTGTACTATCACAATAAGAAGATTTAATAGTGGTGTTTATCTTATTTGTTATTGAATATAATTTTAATGCTATGTTAAGTGTAAGACTTTTACTGTATTCTGTTTTCTTTTTTTTTTTTCCTTTTCAGAAAAGCTCACTTTTCGGGACATAGTATCTCCACAAGAGTTCAGGCAGGGGGAAGATGCAGAAGTTGTTTGCCGTGTTACGAGTTCACCTGCTCCCGTTGTCAGCTGGTTGTATCGGAATGAGGAAGTCACAACTATTGCTGACAGTTAGTATTTTGGTAACTCTTTAAGTTATACATTCCACACAATATTAAAACATTATTTTAAAGAAGGTCTTTTTAAATTCCTAGTGGACTTTGTGGTGGATTTTAGTGGGGGATTTTGATTAGCACGTCAGCTTAAATGGAATTTTACCAGGTTCTGTGCTCTGTAGGGAATCTGTGTACAATGGTTTCCCCTATGTGTCTTCTTTTCCAATTGGGAATTTTGCCTAGGTGTAACATGAGTGTCCAAATGCCCAAAAGATTTCTGGGAGCTCCCTCACAGGACCTCTTCCAGGTACATCTTGTCTGTAGGAATTGAACACGTTTAAAACACACAGACATGAACTTCACTGCAGACCAAGCTGTGATACTGACCCTACACAGCCCTCACTTTGGGATACTTGCACAGTTGCTCAGAGAATTCCAAGTGGAGAGGCATTTTGCATTATTGTGAGAGTTTGCTTGTATAAGGGTAAGATGCCCTCTGAGTTACAAGTAACTGGGATATAAGTAATCAACTGAGGCTGGACTGATAAAACTTGGATTAAGACAAATCTCGCCTTCTCCACATGCAAGTTCTAAGTCTCTAGAGAGCCAATTACTTAGTCAAATAGTATTTTTTTGACTTATACCTACAAAAACTTTGAATTATTTTTTTTCAGTGTTGTCTCAATAGTCATCTTTGCTAAAACAGGACTTTTTTACATTTTCTGGAAATGGAACTAACATTGTTAATTAATCAGCTTTTCTAACTTCCCATCAGTTTTTCTCTCTGCATTTAATGAAACTCAGGGTTGCAGTGCATATTTAAAATTCTTTTTCTTTCAAAATTCATTCTTATTTTTATTTAAAAATTAAAAGTTTGTTAGGGGTTTTATGAAGTCAAATGAATGTGGAACAGTTGATAGGGGGGGGGAAAAAAAGCTTGGTTCTTATTTCTGGACGCAGTCTTTGGTTCCTCTCCATTGGGAAAGAAAGTTTTGATTAAACTTCTTTCTTATTTAGTATATCTTATTTCTTCGGTCATCTAGACACGGAGACTAAAAGGAACAAACAGCAAACTTCTACACTTAGAAGAAAATAGTTGCAATTTATTTATATAAATATATATATAATTGAACATAAAAAATTTTCAAAAATAAGAATGCTGAAAATAAAACAAGAATTAGCAATCTAGGAAAAAGTCATTTGAGGATGATAGAGCTTGAAAAAGTAGAACTTCCTCAAAGATCTCTCGAAGTTTTTATCACCATTTTGCTTTTCAATCAACCTGTAGGGTTAGCAAAGCAGATGAAGCAACATTTCCTTTCTACTTCAAAATCGTGCACTTTGAAATGGAGTTTTTAAAAATTTAATACATAAACTTCTATTTTTTTAACCATTTTCTTTCACAGTGCTAAAAGGTACAATGATAGAAACAAGTTTTAAGTTAAATAGTAGAATACTTCCCTTATGTTCTGATCTAGAACAGTATCCAAATACAATTCTAGTCCTGTTTGGGAGGTAGCAGTTTTAAATCACATAAAAATAGGACACTGTAAGCTTTGTGGGTTTTGTTTATATGGGTTTACAATAGAGGTGAAAACCAGCATGCCCACTGTCTTACAGTTAAGAAATTTTTTCTTGCCTAGTGAAATAAAAATTACTCTGTTTTATTTTATAATTTCAGTTTCAAAATCTACAGTGGATGATCAAATTCTCTCTTATCCTAAAGATGACTTAAGGCAGGCTTCTAATGAGCCAGATTCACCCTCTAGATCATATTGGCCAGGCTGTTGCAAAGCAGTCCTGCTGCTTTCTCAGGGTAGCATAGCCTCTGATATTTCTTTTCCACTTCAAATCAATTCCTTGTCCAGTTCTAATTGCAGTACTGGAGATGTAGTACCATTGCCCTGCAGAGCCCATGTAGGCCATTAAAATACATTTATTAACTAACATTAAAATACATTTGTATTAACTAACATGCAAAGGTGATTGCTTGCTTTAAGATGGTTAACATGCTGTGTTTATTGTGTGTTTAGAAGATATTACAAAAGAATGGCCAGTTTTATGAGAAAAAGATTTAATAAAAGTCTTGGTCTTCAACATTTTTTCAATATTTTTTTCAACAGCTCTTTAGTAATGTCCTACTACATAGTATTATATTGGACATTCTGGCTCAAAACCTGGTACATACGCAGCAAAATTTGCGAACTATGACCAAAAATTCCTCCAGATTGGGTTGAATGGCACTGAAAAGACATAAGACCTTCTTGTCAGCCACACCACTTAGCGTGTGATGTGACTGAAGGGGGAGGTCATGCAACTGACTGTTCTTCTAAATCAGGCTTTTGAAGTTGAGGGGGTTGAGTCCAGACAAAGCAGCGATGATCTGGAGTAGTGTAATGCCCAGTTACTTCCTGACTCGCCAAATCAAATCTGTTTAGTAAAGGGCAAAATTTTATCAAGATATCCATGGCACAGTGAACTTCTGATATACTCATGGGAATATCTACTGCTGTATCCATTTTTCTGCAATGAAAGTTGAAAAGTTATCCAGCCAACATTTAGTTTTTGTTTCCTGATGCTAAGTGAACCCTCATTTTTCAGTGTTTTATAAAAATGGAGATCACCTCCAGCCTCCCTATTCATCTCACACACTGCATGTCTATGGTAAAAAAAAATTAAAAAAACTAAAAAAACCAACCAAAAAAGCTTTACCAATGCTTAAAGGTTTAAAGAGGAGCTGGAACTTCCCATTTCAAAACATTTGAAGGCATGATTCTGTGTAGGTAGTTGTGTAGGAACAGAACTGGAAAATATATATTTTGTATGTGGTAGTGTATGAAATGGCATTAATATTCAAACATGACTTTAACAAACCAGACATAATTAATGTAAATGTGTTCATGATGTTAATGTCTTGTAAACTTCTATCAGGTGAAGCATGATTTTCTTTTTTTTTTTTCGTTTCTCTCTTCATTTTATGGTAGAATTCTTGCAACTGGTACAGAAGTCATCTGTGTGCTAGTTAAAAATGAAAGCTGCTAAATCTCATAATCCTTCGATATTGAAAGGTGCAAAATAGAGGAAGAACAATACCTGAATAACAGGGTTTCGTGTTCTTCAAAACCTATATTCAGTGAATTGCAGGAAGGCATTTTCCTCAGAAGAGTCCATTAATATTGATTAGTTTTGGTGAGTTTACCTTGGTGAGCTTCCAGGCACCCACCCAGCCTTTCTCTCACTTACACTCCTCAAGAGGTTGACCTTGGCTGGATACCAGCTGTTACCAAAGCTGCTCAGTCACTTCCTCTGAAACTGGACAGAAGAGGGAGAATATAATAAAAGGCTCGAGAAAATTTCTCACCTTTCACTTGTGACATTTCTTGGGGTTAACCCATGATGAACCACTCTTAGCTCAGACCATTTCATCCTTGAAAAATGTCGACTTTGTAAATAAAACAAAAAATAGCCATCAAACTGTGCCCTATGAGGTTGTTGTAAGGGTTGAGATTCAGGATAAAAACTTTTTAGAAGGGTCTGTTGCACTAGAACAAGGGGTAATGGTTTTAAGTTAAAAGATAGATGATTTCATTTAGATATTAAGAATACATTTTTGATGGAGGTGCTGAAACACTGGCACAGGTTGCCCAGAGAAGCTGTGGCTGTCACATCCCTGGAAATGTTCAAGGCCAGTCTGGACAGGGCTCTGAGCAGCCTGGTCTAATTGAAGATGTCCCTGCTTATTTCAGGGAAGTGATGGATTGAGAAAAGGACATGGAGAAATCACTTGCCAATTGCCATCATCATGGGCAAAAGAGATTTGATTCGAGGAAAATATCATTACCAACATAATCAGATTAGGATAGTTAGAAATAATAGTCTTAAACTGCACCTTTCCCCCACACCTTCTTTCTTCTCGGGCTAACATGACTCCAAACATTGTCTCCTGCTGTTCCTTCCTCCTCAGGGGAGGACTCTTCATACTCTTCCCCTGCTCCAGTGTGGGGACACCTCGGCGAACTTCAGCAATCCTTCCAACAGCCTGCAGTTCTTCAGGAGCCACTCCAGCATGGGTCCCCCATGAGCATCCCAGTCCTGGCACAAAACCTGCTTTGGCATGTGTTCCTCTCTCCATGGCTTCACAGGTCCTGACAAGGAGCCTGCTCCAGCACAGATTTCCCACAGGGGCACAGTCTCTTTCAGGCATCATCTGGTCTGACCAGGTCATCCAGGGGCTACAGGTGGATCTCTGCTCCTTTGTGGACCTGATGGGCTGCAGGGGCACAGCTGTCTCCCTATAGTGTGCAGCATGGCCTGACAGGGCATCTGCTCTGACACCTCCTCTTCCTCCTTCTTCAATGACCTGGGAGTCTGCAGGGTGGTTCTGCTCATGTCTCTCACTCCTCCCCTGGCTGCAATTGCTGTTGCACTTTAATTTTTCCTTTCTTAAATCTGTTATCCCAGAGCTGCTGATTGCCTTGGCTGGGGGGAGGTCCTGCTTAGACCCTGCTGACACTCTAGGACATGGTGAAACTTCTAGAAGCTTCTCAAAGAAGCCACTTCTGTATCCCCCCCAAGTCTTGCCAAGAAAACTAAAGACAAGATGATGGGAGAAAATGAGTAAAAAAGTGTGTTGAGATTAAGACAGGGAGAACACTCACCCGCATCAGCAAAATGGGTTTGACAGAGGGGAAAATTAATTAAATTCATTGCAAGTTAAATGGTGTTGAATGGTGAAACACAAAGACAAAATTAAAGCAATATTTTGCCTCTCCTTTTTCCCAGACTTTACTTTTTCATTGCTGACTCCTCTACCTTGCCCACCCCAAGGAATGCAGTGAGATTGGGAGTGGGGCCTGTGGTCAGTCTGTAACATTTCCAGTGTGGATCCTTTCTCTCGGTTGCAGTTCAGGCTGAATTTGCTGTAGCAGAGGGTCTTCCATGGATTACAAAGGGGATATCTGATCCTTGAGGCCAACAGATCAACACATAAACCTAATACACTAGTCCAGAGAGAAGGAAGAGGAAAAATTAAATTCAGGTCCAGTTTATTTCTGAAGATTATAATTTTGCTGCTGCATGTGCAGAAAAGTGTGTGCATGGTTTTCTTTCAGAGCCTGATTTTACAGTGTCCTTCAGCCCCTCAAAATGTCTACTCAATTTCAGTTTATGCTGGCCTTTGCAGAAGATAGAGTGCTTTCTTTTTTTGGGTTATGTCTTTGTAGAGATATCTGTGAAGTGTTAGAGGGTGGTGAAATATATCATTGACCAAGAGTGAATAAAGAAAGGAACAGAAGGAGGGAAGGAGGGCAAACAAGCTGAAAATCATTAAACATTGGGCTGTAGAATGGGCACAAATACAGATAGTCTAGATAGAGAAGGAAACAGCATTTTGTTGCTTATTTTATTAAAAACTGCTCAATTTAATTTATGAGTCTTTTTTTTCCCATTTAATCTTTTTGTTATTCTGTGTAAATGCTCACAAGTTTTCCACTCATTTTGCAATAAATTGTTATTTAGCTTACAGTTGACTACTTCTTGGAGTAAGTAGGAAATTATGGATGGAAAATCCAGATTGAATTCTAGGAAATTCAATGTGTTTTGGAATGAAGAAACCCCAAATTTCTCAGCCTATATTTTCTTTTTAAGTGTACAAATGTTTTATCAATGAGTGTTCTGATTGTACAGAGAAAGTTCTTAAATATTTTTCATTTAAGTAAGTGTTCCTCATGTTGTCTTGATTTACTTGATTTATGCCATTTGGTCTCTTATTTTTCTTTCTAGATCGATTTGCAATATTAGCAAACAATAATCTCCAAATTCTTAAGATCAATAAAAGTGATGAAGGAGTTTACAGATGTGAAGGAAGAGTGGAAGCAAGAGGAGAAATTGACTTTCGGGACATAATTGTTATTGTGAATGGTAAGGAGTAAAGTTGATTAACTGACTTTGTGCTTTATTTGACTATTATAGCCTATTTCAAAATATGATCTTCAAAAAACCCTTTATTAAATTGGTTAATATAATTGTCATATCTGTTTAGTATTGGTTTCTTATAAATGTAATTTCTTAATACTGAAAAAAAATCTACTGTGTAAATAGAATTCATTACGTTTCATAATATCAGTAAATATAAATATGTAAAGCATGAATCATTATTATTAATCATTTACAGTACAATAATTATTTCAAGACTTGAATTTCAGATTGTAGTAGCTCAGTTCAGTCTATTTTTCAGTGTTTTGTCACTTATTCTTAAAAAACATGCTTGATTTTTCATATTTATTCATCTTCACTGTGCAATGTATTTTATGAGCTCACAGACACATTTTATTAAGTCTCAGTTACAGATTTTTTCAAATTTTATTTTTCTGAGGAATAAACTATGTGAGGAGTTACCTGAATATTTGCATTATAGGTTTTATTAGTTTATAATAAACCTTTAAGAATGAAAATCATTGAATTGAGACAAGATGGAGCATTTAACTCAACCTCTCTTAAACTCTGCATTGACCTGTTGAAAAATAACTATCTCTTCATATGTCGCCTGGAAAGGACACCATTCATAAAGGGCATTTTTTATCTCTGCCGTCTGTTTAATGTCAGCTTTTCAGTGACATTCTTCTACAGTGTGTCTTAGGTTCAGAGCTTTAAATGCTTTGCCCTTGACTGGTCCTTCTCAGTAAATCCCAGGTTACACAAGTCGTTATGTAAGGTGAAGTCACAGCTACTTTCAGCAGGAGGAGCAGATTCTGGCACAGGTATTTCTTAGTCCACATTGTCAAGCAGCAACATCTGAGGCAGAATTCTCTAGATTGCTGTAGGTGGCACATTCTGGTGCTGCATTACCACGACTCCTGATTATGTACAATTCCAACAGTGCATCTGGTAGCATTTAAAATGCCAAATGAGATTTTCCTCTGCTTCTATTTATGTACAGGGATATGAATCCACCTTCTGATTACCTTTCATCTCTATCTGGTGTTTATAGGCAGTTGAGCTGAGAGAGGCTGTATTTAACCTAAAACATTGGTTTGCAAACCATGGTCTGACTTCACATCATTTTTGCTCAATTATAAAAACAACAAAAAAAAATATGATCCTTCTTATATTTGTTATGACTCCAGGCAAGAATGTTAACACAGTCATCTCTAAACTTTAGTCCTAGGAGGAGAAGAAGCTGCCAAATAAGTGATTATGACATGGCTGGTCATGTAGAGTGACATCAATTAAGAGCTATTTCCTGCTTCATTTATAGTAATAAATAGGTTTGCCTACATAAAATTGAAGGGATAAAATTTGATCCAAAAAAGCTTTTAGAGTAATATTAAAATGCAGGAAAAAAATGTACTGTTTTTTGGTGAAAAAAAAATCTATAAATTAACTGGATTCAAAAACAAAAAGAAAAAAAGTTTAAAAAAAAGGAAGAGAAGGATCAGTCTGTAGGCCACTAAAAGCTACATGGCCATATTTCTACTGCATCTCCTTTTCGAAAAGAGAAATAAGAAATGCTTACTTTGGAGGATAATCTACACTTACAATAAAAAGAACATATTATCAGGAAAGCATTTGTATGTAGAAGTTATTCAACTTTAGAGCTTTACTGTTTATTTACTCATCTTCTTATAGTCACTGTAGAATCTACAGGAATATGCAAGATCTATGCTAACAATATTTCTATAATAGGAATCACAAAATGAGGTTAATTGGAAGGGACCCACAAGGAGCATTGAGTCCAATGAAAAAGTTGTCCTGCTTTCAACTAAACCAGGATAGAAATATGTAAAGTTTCCAAAGCAGGATAAACTGTAACAAAGGAACTTAGGGGTACTTTATGAAATCTGGCATACCAGATTAATTGTAGTAGTTCATTTTTTTAAATTAAAGTCTGCATATGAACGGTTTGCAAATTTACTCAAGAATAATTAAATCTTGGAACAAAGTTTGATATCAAGGTAATTTCTAATGTATGGAAATCCTTGGAAGGTTATAGTGGGTAAGAAATTGACAGTTGAATTATCTCTTAGAAATCTAATGTTTATGTTTCTTTTCTACTTTCAATACTAAAATTTTTGTAGCATTTATTTTCTAGTTGTATTTACAGCGAGATCTGAATGTCACAATTTTCTGTGATTACAAATAGTTGATATAGAGGAGAATGAAAGAATTCAAGTCCTCCTGTAACCAAAAGTTTCTTTTACTTGTTCTTTTGTCTCTCTTTGTTTTTCTTTATTCTTTTTGTTCTTTTTAAATTATTTTTCCCTAATGTACTACTTAGATTTACTTTTTACTATCTGAGAAGTTCCATAAATTGAATATCATTCTGATCTCACTGAAGTTAATGAGAGTTATTTACACAGTTATAAGGGACTGAGTTTTGTTACTCTGCTTTAAATGTGAAATGAGAGAGATTTACCAGCTTTTTTCATTTTGCTTTTCCTCTTGTACCTTTACTCTTTAGATCCAACCTATGTACATACAAGCATAAAAACAGATTTTTCCTTGAAAAATTATAAGCAAACAAAAATTTTCCTTCTCAAAAGAGAAAATAATATTTCATTTCATTGTTGTTGGAGTACATCTTGGAAAATTTAAGCACTTAAGTAATGAACTGAACCAGGTCACTGTCCTGTAGTTCTTAGTGGTGAACAGTGAAGAGCCTGCTACTTCTAGCAAAGAATTATCTCCTCATGTTCCCAACTATTTTCAAGGTCCAGACATTAGAATGCACTGCAAAATAGCTGAAATGCATTAAAATCTTTCTATGTAGCATTGTGGGTTTTTTTTATTTTTTAATTTTTTTATTGGAGATGGATAAATTCTCGTAGCACAGCAGAAGGGTTTTGTGTGCTGAGTAATAGCCCATGCAACTTCAGATAGGAAAGAAGTGATCCGTGAAACACTATGAAACACACCATTAAAAAGTGTGAAAAGTACATAAAAACACACTATTACCTATCATTGATAATTCTGGTACATGATTTTATATTAATTTGATATATTTAAGATTCAGAAGTGAAAAGGCTTCTGAAATATTCGGTAGAGAGCCACAACAGTTGGTTTTCAAGAGTGAGTGAGAAAAATCTGGTGGAGTGCAATGGAACACTAAAAACAAATTCATTGAGGTTGCCTGTTTCATCTTTTCACTAATAAAGAGTAAAGATAAAAAGAATAACAGAGTCACTGTGTCATCTCCCAGGATATTCTTGCTAGCTGACCTCTGTTTAGTGGAGCTCCAATCTTTTCCCTTTCCTCTCAGTTTCTGTGGCATTCATTCTTCTCTGCATATTAACTTCCATCCATGTGCTTGGATTGTTTTTATTTTTATGTTTCATGGAATCATAGAATAGTTTGGATTGGAGGGACTTAAAAAACCCCATCTAGTTTCAAGCCCCTGACGTGGGCAGGGACACCTGCTGCACTGAGTTCCTCAGACATCCATCCAATCTGGCCTTGAACACTTCATATTTGCTATTAATGTTAATTAATAGAAGAAGATATGTAAACAGATATGTTAAATATCAGGCTGTGAGTCGTTCTGTCTCAAATATTATTGCTATGTTTTTGGTTGGATAGAGGTTCTTTGTGAACTGTTATGAATTTATAACAGTTAAAATGTTATTATTTTATTATTATTAATGTTATAAATGTTATTTTTAATAATAACTTAATACCATCAAGAACAGAAAGTATTTGTCACTATTAGAACAAAATTAAATTCTTGGAAATGCAAATAGATAGCATCCATTGGGTGCACATTGTATTGGCGCATCTGTTGCATCACATTTGATGGTGATATTCCTGTCTGGGAAGTATGCTGGAGCTCAGTAAAAGGAATTTGATATGCATAATCAAGACTCCTGTATACTGATCCATCTTTTAGAAACACTGTCTAATATCAGGGCATAGTTTTATGTCTTATGTGTGTATTGTCTTACACATGTTAGGTGCAACTTCAGCCATCTTAAAATGTTGTGTAAGAAAATTGATGAACTGCTGAAGAAGACTTCCAAAAATTTATTCTATTAAAAAATGTTATAAATGCCTTGATAATATTAGAAATCCTGTTTTTAAGAAAAGTAAAGAAATACTACCAACAATGATTCACATTGGTAACTTGATCCCTAATTGTAACCCTAAATTCCTAAACTACCAAAGGATCCTGCATTTTAAATTTTCCAGGAACACATAAAATATTTTATTTTTTATTCATTGGACATAATGTTTTATTTTTCAGTCCCCCCTGCAATCATTCTGCTACAGAAATCCTTCAATGCCACAGCAGATCGAGGAGAGGCAATAACTTTGTTTTGCAGAGCCACAGGATCACCTCCACCTGAGATCAGTTGGTACAGGTGAGTTCAGTCGAGGTCTCCACATCAGAGTACATTGTTTTAATGTATCCCAGTTTTCCATCACAGTCCATTAAGCTGTGCAGCCTTAATTTCTCTACTGAATTCTAAGAGAATTTTCTGTCCATTTCTATTCTAACTGCTAAGGCTGGATTAAGCATTAATGTGTGAACAGACTCACACAAATTCAATTGCACTCAGGTCGCCAGCAAGTGAGGTAAATGTAGGAACTAACAAAAATACCATATTGTCATTATTTCTTCAAGTGTGAGTGGAAAATAAATAAGTCCATATCTCAAAAACAGTACAAGAACAACATAACAACGACTTCTGCACATAAATGCACAGATACGTGTTTATGCAGTAAATAAGTATCCATCAAAGGTCAGCAATACTAATAAAAAACCACATTTTCCACATTTGTAAAAATAGTTTTTAACCTTAACTCTCTATTTCAATGAGACTCAGAAAGAGGTATGAATTTAGACACTTGTAAGACCCAGGAGTGTGTCATTGAATAAGTTTCAGTGAAACTTGATATAATTATATCAATATAAAATACTTTGAAAATGGAATTGCTTTTGAATCTCATGTGTGTTTGTTCATTATATCAATGGCATGAGCATAGTAGAGCTATGTCATTTGGGAACACTTACCATGTAACATTTGTAAAAATTTAAATATCTATTTACTCTGTGTTCTTTCAATTTCAACAAAGATATGCATCATTCCTGGAATGTAAAGTATCTCAGCACCACAAACCAGTGCACATTTCTATTTTAGACCTGAATAATTTGCATCTACTTATATTATTTCAAGCGGATTAAAGGTCATCCCATTTTCAAAATGGGCATAGAAGTGATTTTCATCAATTCTTCATCTCCTTTGGAACATTTGAATGATGTCAGATTAAGTTTCTCTCCTTTGATATCTTAATCTTGTTATGCCATAGGTCAGTTGTGAAGTTGAATTTTTGTCTCATGCAATTTGAATCCCAGGAGATGTAAATAAATATACTGCAAAGTTAATTCCTTAATGTGGCTTAGAATTCAAAATTTAGTAAAGGGGAGGAAAAATAAACCCAAAATATGTATAGCCCAAATCAAAGAACTGATATTAAATTCAAATGATATTATTTTTATTTGATGTCTTTGAAGTACTTTTTAAAATGTCTCTCCTATCTGACCAAAAATCATGAGTTGCCTGAAATCTGCCATCATAAATGGCTTTGGTGTATGAAAACAAACATCATGGTATTTATTAAGGAAGATTACATAAATTTCCACCATTTGTGGATATCTTCATTAACAGTTGTGGGATTTTTTTCTGTGTTTATAAATATCATAGTGTGTACACAGGCCAAGGGTCATGGAGAGACAATTATTTCTGTGTACACTGATCGGAGTCCACAATGAAGGCTCTGATCAGTGTACACAAACAGCTCTTCAGGAGCTAAATTTTTAAACCATTCATTAAATATATTTTGTAATGATTTTCCAGAAGCTTTTCAGGCTTATGGAATGGATATTGAATCATACATGTGCAAACTTCTGTTCCTGTCAGGAACTATCTCATAATGAGGAGTAGTGGCTAATGTCCCTCCCTTCCCTTTTGATTTTTTTTTCCGCCTTTTGATTCTCTTTTAGGGTATAAATTCTTGTCAGTAGAATTTTTTATTTTTTTAAATTTGCTGACACTGAGATTTTGTAAAATGATACACCAAAAAGAACATTTATCCCTGGAAAAGATATTATTATTAATATGGAAGCAGGGGAAAAAATGGTTTTTAGAGAAAGTAAGCAATGTTAAATGGTATTCCAGTCCTAAATTTCTGCATCACATTTCTGAAATCTCTGTCCTAAAATTTTCAGGTCCATTTTCAGGTCCATGATTTCATAATCAGTGAGTCTCTGCTTCTGTCCTTGGTCTTATCTAGAAAGTATGTAAAGATAAAGACCTTGGTTTTCTACAATAGTTCAGACAGGGGTTTTTAGAAATAAGACTGAGCATAGGAAAACCTGATCAACATATTTTTCTTGATTTTGCAAAAAATGTAGAAAGCATTGTCAATGAGTGTTAGGGAAGCTTATCTAAAGTAACTGATCTAATATTAATATGCTTGTCATCCACTGAGAAGTTAATTGAATATGTTTTTCAGAATTAATAGCAAATTATTCCCTATTTTGTCCTGTTTGTTGTGCTTTTTGATGTTGAAAGTAAGGTGGTACTAAGCTCAGTTTTATTGCCTTTCAGTTTTAATAAACAAATTAAACTGATAAAGTTTTACTATTGATTTTGTAAGGATTATAATTATAGGTCGCTGTAAATTAAGGGAATTTTGTTCAGTTTTAAACTCAACTTCACCTTTTATCTATGTGTGTTCAGTCATTTTATTTAATTTGTCTCAGGTTAAACATTTCTAAAATGGGCAGGTGTAATAAAGTGATTTAATGGAAGCCTGTTTTCTGAATTCTCTGAATAGCTAGGTACAGCTGATGGCCTCAGAGAAATGGTGTTAGATATTCTAACAGAAAATCATAATTATAGCTTTTCCTGATGTCTCAGTGCAAAACATTCTGAAGTATATTCAGTCTCCTGGAGACCTGTGGAGAAGTACTGGTAAAAAGGGCGGTAAATGGTTTTTTACTCCATTCTGCTGCAGGATTTTGACTTCATGGAGAAAAAAGTATATCCATGCTTGTTAAGGTGGTTCATCTTTTAAACTCAACTTCACCTTTTATCTATGTGAGTTCAGTAATTTTATTTAATTTGTCTCAGGTTAAACATTTCTAAAATGGGCAGGTGTAATAAAGTGATTTAATGGAAGCCTGTTTTCTGAATTCTCTGAATAGCTAGGTACAGCTAATGGCCTCAGAGAGATGGTGTTAGATATTCTAACAGAAAATCATAATTATAGCTTTTCCTGATGTCTCAGTGCAAAACATTCTGAAGTATATGCAGTCTCCTGGAGACCTGTGGAGAAGTACTGGTAAAAAGGGCGGTAAATGGTTTTTTACTCCATTCTGCTGCAGGATTTTGATTTCATGGAGTAAAAAGTATATCCATGCATGTTAAGGTGGTTCATCAAGACTGAAGACTTGTGTTAGACACATTTCTATGTTGTTTTGTGTTTGTTGCCTTTTAAAATGGGCTCCCACAGCAGTTATTCGCTCATTCAGTCTAATGAAGTCTTTATTAAGGCCTGCAGAATCTCGATCTATTCAGCAGTTATTCGCTCATTCAGTCTAATGAAGTCTCTTTATTAAGGCCTGCAGAATCTGGATCTATTTGAAGGTAGTCTTACACTCCACTGCTGCTTTAGTCAACTAGAAAGTTAATAATCTCAAGTTTTACTACCCTTGTTTTCTTTTTAGTTTCCAATGAACTGATTTTAACAGATCAACTTCAGATAGGCAATGAAAAATATCTGTATTTTTAAAATCAGATGACACTGCTGTTGAAGGGACTCATACCTCTGCGTGTTGACTGTAAACAAGATGCTGGACAAAACAATAGTCTCAAGCTTCTAGCTCTTTAAGACCAGATAATGTGGTGAAGTTGAACTATTTATGTTGACCATTTTTATTTCCAGGTGCTTACGATATTTAGTTGTGATCAGTTTAAAATGAATACATATGAAATAATAATGTCAGTTTTTCTCCAAAAATCCTTTATTGCACTTATAAAAAATAGTCACTTTGAAATACCTTGTCAAAAAGAAAGGTCATCAAAATTTAGTTTTGATGCTCTATTTCATATATGTGTATATTTTGTTGATATTTTGTGGACTAAGAGAATCTAATTAATTCTCCATTGAACTGGTATCTCTGTTGAAGCTGATATTACATTAATGTAAAGCATAACCTTCAGAGAGGCAATACACTAATGGAATTAATTAGCCAGGAGTGAAAGATAACGATCCTAATGTAACTACAGGTCATGAACTGGAAATCTTTACTTGTGTGAATAGTCCTATTGAAAACATTGTTTATAGCTGTGGAGATGATTTACACTGCTAAAGTTTAGCTGGATCAATTTCCTGGTCTTTGCTGACAGGACTTAGAATTATCTTACAAAAGAAATAATCCACTTTAAGTACACTATTCATGTTTTCCTATTATCCAATATCAGCATCAATATGAATCTCTCTGCTCACTAGAGGGTCTAGGGAAGTACTCATAATCTCATTTCTGCTGAGAAACTGCTATAGATATCAATGCTTGTGAAAACAAGTACCTGGAAATTACTTCTAATCTTGAATACATGCTTTTGTCTCCTAAAAAAATCACTAAGGGGTTTTTGGTTGTTCGGGATTTTTTGTTGCTGTTTGTTTCTTTTTTTGTTGTTGTGTAGTGGGTTTGGGTGGCTTTTTCTGTTTGTTCTGGTTTTGGTTAAGTTTGGTTTTCTGTGAGACTGTTTAATATGGAAAATTAGGTCTTTCTTATTCTGTAAAACAGTTTCTGTGATTTTCTTTGGAAAGGAAATGAACAAGTATCATAATAGTGTCTTGAAGTTGGTAACTAAGTGGATTATAATTATTTACAAAAAAAGTGTTAATACTAAGGGCAAACTATATAGATATCAGGGTACTCCTGCTAACAGTTATGATTCTCCCAAGAAAAAGCAGTATCCTCACTTTTAGAGAAAATATTATTTAGGAAAATATAAAATATATGTAGTTATCATTATATGAGAATAAAATGGAAATTATTTTTCTTCAAATCTTGAAAAAAAATTGATGTCCTAAATTAGGAATATTGAATAGAATAGTATGTTTGAGTAATGCCCTCTTGAAAAAGCAGCTGTGTGTAGGCCAAGGTGCTCAAATGGACCGGTCAAGCCTCAATCAGCCCTCAGAATTGCTTGCAGATTTTATTATTTCTGTACCATCTGGTCACAGCTCATTCTAACATCTGGAAACATGCCTGCTTGCTAAGTTGTGGCTAGCCAACAACAACTGAGAGGAAATAATTTGGATGGGTTCTTGATGTGCCAATAGGCTCTACGTGAATGTAATTTAATTTTTTTTATAAGTTGCTACATTTTTACTACTGTGAACTGCTGCCGTTGCAGTTGAGAAACATGCTTTTAATAGTTTCTTGTATACAATATATAACAAATTTCCGAATGCCCTCCCTTGAGTGTAAGTCATATGTAAGAATCCTATTCACAACCATTTTTATAACATTAGGTCAATATTGAATATTTAACAATAAAGGTATTATGCATATATATATATATCTTTTAACCTGACAATTAAATTGTGATATTGTGATTTTTTTGAGGCTGGTGTAATAGTAGTCTCTTCCTTCAAAAATTATTTTCAGCCTATTGATGCTTCTATAGCACATTGTTACTGAAACTTAGTGGCTGATTTTTATATGTATATATATAAATATATATTTATTTTTTTTTAGGAATGGCAAACTTATTGAAGAAAACGAGAAATATGTCCTGAGAGGAAGCAATACACAACTAACAATAAGAGATATAAAAAATATCGATGCAGGCCCTTATATCTGTAATGCTAAAAACAAAGCAGGAAATGACAAAAAGCAGACAGTCCTTCAAGTTTTTGGTAAGTACTGCATAATATGGTCCATCTTTCCTTTTAAAATGTAAACAGTAGGGAAATAGGTGTTAATTCACAATTTTCAGTTTAATAGTATTTCTGCAAGGTGCCTACTGGTGCAGCAAAGTGCTTTCTGTATGATTTTACAACTTCTTTTGTCCCTGTTGGCTGCTTAAACCTTTACATCTGAATTTCATTTTGAAAAGGTTATTTTCAGCATTTGCTTTTCTGCTATTCACATGCAGTATACAATGGAGTGTTCAATAGTTAATTCACTCTGGTTTTAATTTAGAAGTTGACTGCTTGCAAGAAAACCAAAAGGAGAAAGGGGGATGTTCTGAAAGGGGGAAGAGCAGGTTATCTTGACTTCTAAGCAGTGAGGGGTTTTAGTAAGGCAATGCCATGCAGAGATCTTCCTATTTTTTTTAAATTTATGTTTCTTGACATCTATTTTTTAAGTGTACAATTGCAGATGTAATCACAAAAATGTTGTGTGTGCTGAGCTTCAAAGGATAAAAGTAATAACCTCAAAACCCTTATTTCTCTTTCTATGTTCCACCACCCCAGCTCTGATAATGATTCCCTCCTTTACGTAGAACTGATAATTTATTTGAAGTTTTGTTGAGATATAACTTAGTGAGATTGGGTTTTCATGAGAATGTAGAAACCATCCCTCAGAATCACTGTGCAAAACAAAAAGGCTGTAACTTACTTATGAAAAACCTACAAAAATGAATGTGTTGGGGTTTTTTTACATTAAATGTAGCTTGTATTATAGAGAAAGAATTTCTGTTTGAACTGGTAAATGCCATATATAGGACAAAGGAAAATAATTCCCGGTTTAAAAAAAAATCAAATATTTAGTGTTTGACAGTAATTCCTAACTAAAGCTAATAATAATTTATGAAGGTGAAAGAGTTCTGACTGGAGAGAGTAATCTGATAAATGACATTGAAGAGGGTAGATGTTGGGTTGTATAATGCTAGCATTTGGGGCTTGGGAGCCTGAGGCTGAAGCCTTGGTGTCAGGTGAACTTGGCTGTGTTCACATACATCCCACTGCCTCCTCTTTAAGAATTTCGTTATGCTGTGTTGTTTCCAGCTATGTACTCCAGGTGGATTGCCTAGCCGTTGGGCTGTTGTTCTGAGGTACTTGAGAGTTATTCTCAATTTCTTCTCAAAGGAAAGAAGATGAAATAAAATCTTAAATTTTATGCCAGCCTCAAGAAATACAGCATCTTGGTTTGGAAAACGGAAATATTTCATTCAACTTTATTTCCAAACTTAAAAAAAATAAATGGAAGGAATAGAAATTACTTTCTAATTTTGATATTAACTTAGGGAAATTTCATTCAGAAATAACTGTGTGTGTTAAACAAGGAATTTTAAGTGTTACCGAAATTTACTTGGTTTACTTCCTTGCCTAGAGCAAGGAAACTTTTTAATTAAAGGGATAGGAAAAAGGAGACACCACACTAAAAGTCAGGATTTTCTGTATATATTTTTCATCTTTTAGCAACCACTTTTCTGGGGACTCCATGGCTCCATGGAAAACTAAATACTACTGTTTTAATGGATACAATGAGTTAGTTAAATCCGTTATGAACCTACACATCCCTAATGTTTCCATGGCATCCTGGACTCCTAAATTTCTTAGGTATTTTCTTTCTTGCATTGAAAATAATTTTGTAAGTTTCCACAGAATTCTCTAGAGTGCCTCCCACATCTCTGCCTTAAGAGGTTGTAGCTAATTTGTAATGGAGCAGGATTTTTACATCTCCTACAATAATCTTCACTTTTGTCTCTTTCACACAGATTATATACAGTCATATATACAGCCAACAATTACTTATCTTTTTCCATTAAATGTGTTAAAAAAATGTCAGTCTGAAAATGGTAAGGCAGATGGCTGGTTATTATAGCTAAATAGTACACAAATAACTTGTTTATGTTAAATTGACCTATTAAATTGTGTTTTTCTCTCCCACTTCATTAGCTTATTTGTCTCATATGTCTGCTATCTTTAATTTTAATTTACAATACAAACTCCTTAGAGCAATGAATACTGTTTTTACAACATGGCTCTGGCAGTGTTAAAACCATAACAACAGTAATATAACCATAATGCAATAAAAATAATAGTAACATTATAGAAATCACTACTTAAACTTTCTAGAACACAGGACTTTTGAATACACATGCTCATTTCAGAGTCACGTAATAGCTACATATTTAGTTTTCATGCATGACCTAGATTCTTTAGTTTAACTTTGGGGTTTTTTTTCAGTATCAATGCTAAAAACACTTTTTCATTCTGATATAAAATGCTTACTCTGACAGTATTTTTACAGCTCTATGTGTCAAAACCTATAGGCACATGGCCTGCATTCCCCAGTTCATCTGTATCAGTGCTTTGTTCAAAAAAGAGAGAAAAACCCCTGTTTCTGTAGGTCTTTGTTGATATGATTTGATTATCTCTGCTTGTCCTCCTCTTATCTGCCATAGCTTTTTTTCTGTATCATTAGCAATTACTACCTAAAAGATCCTATCTATTAATACTCAGACTTGAGCTAAGGTTTTTAATTCAAATTCATTTATGTTTACTACTGAAAAGCTTGAAACCGTAGGTATTCATCCTTGAATTCTTTAAAAATGTTCTCTGTATTTATCTCTGTTTGGTAGCTATCACTTTCACTCATACTGTTTCACTTTAATTTTTCTCTTTTTTTTATTCCAGTAGTAAGTAGCTGTATTTAGAAATTTCTGTGTTTAGATACATCTGAATTATCACTTTTAATTATGAAATACCACATTTTTACACATATAGACAACACAAAAAAATTCCAAAAATAACATAAGAACAAGCAGTTGATTACAGTAAATGAATTCAATACATTGAAGCTTTCTACATCTTCTTACTTCCTCCAAAGTAAGCATTCATTTCTTCATCATACCTTCTCCAAGGTGGTGGCAGTAGTCTTCATTTGTGTTAGAATAAAAAATGTAATCAGACTAAATGAAAGAAAATTAGCTTTTATTAAAGACATATGTATGAATAGTGTTTATACTCCTAGGATTTTCATTTTGTTTGCTCTAGTTGCTTATTTCTACCTTTTATCACTCAAATACGTAGTTATACAATTTGAAGATACTTAGCATTGAGGTTTTCAACAAGTATTCTCTTTTCTGTACTTAGGTCACAGAAAGCTACATCTATATGTTTAATAATTTATTTTCCTAGAAAGAAAAAAATATTCTTTCTTTAATCAGAATCAATAAAAAAAAATTAAGAAAGTTCTCTATGATACAGGTCTTTTGCTTGCATAATCAGTGAGAGGGCAGTCTGAGTAATATTTTATTGTAAAAGTATTTAATTGGCTTTTCAGTGGGTTCTGACAAATGGCTTCATGAAAATCAAATGAGGGGATATCTCCAAAAGCATTACAAAAGACACTTTGTACTTAATACATAGTTTAAACACATACTATTTTTATTTTCTAGATGCCTTTTTAGTTATAATCTGAATGTTGTTTAGTGGAAAAGTTTTTTCAGTTTTTTATATTAAAAATGTAATTTTTATTGATTATTAAGAAACTATATGCTCTTATTAATATATTTCTGTCATCTGCCAGATAGGAGGAAATATAATGGACCTCTCCTAACTTATCCCCCTTGTGTTTATTCAAAATGCTAAAATTCAAAACTTTTTTGTTAATTAAGTCCTTCAGAATCCATTCATCTTTGAGCCAAAAGGGCTGTCTTGTGCTTCTGAGATTGGGGTGATGAGTTATCTAAATTTTTCCCTTATTTTCAGTCTTAATGCTGCATTCCTTTTTATAGTGCCTGGAGCATGACTTAATAATTTTCTTTTGGGCTTAGTAAGCAAATTTATATGTGTTTTAATATGCTTTTTGTGGTTTGTTTTGTTTGTCATGAGATGCTATTCTATACATACAAGGAAGCTTTTCATTTAAATTCACTGATACCTCTGGAAGGAAGATGCCATGGATCTGTGCATGGAGCTATCTGTTCCTGCTCCTCCCAGGTATCATAAAGTTCACCAGCTGCAGCTTCACAAAGTACAACTCAACACTTACAGACCTAACATTAGTGATGCCTTATGAAGGCTGATCTGGAACAGAGACTAGGCAGGAGTTAAATAATAAAGTAGGGATTTATTAAAAGGCCTCAATGGATTCACCTTGGGCAGGGCAAGAGCCCAGCCAGGGCTACACCCCAGGTGAACCCAAAGTGGTCACAAAATGGACCAGTGGTCCCAAGGTCTCTCACTTTTACAAGTTCTGGTCCATTATCTTATTAGAGTTAATTGTCCAATTACAGTTTTAGATTATGAAGTCCCATCCTTCTTGTTTTTCTCTCTTCAGTCCACCATTGTTTATGCTCTTGGGCCTGAAATTTGGATCATTTGTCCTTGGTCCCCAGCTAGAGAAGGAATTGTGTTGCCTACCTGCTCTGTGAAGAGAGCTCACCATCCCCTAATATGCAGCTCAGAACTACACAGTAAAGCAGCACAGAGTCTGAAAAATTTGAAAGCTAAAACCTGAGGCATCATTAGAAGTTCATGCGTTTTCTGCATTCCTTTTTCCTCCTTATTACTTTATCACTTTTTTGGAATACTTCTACTTTTTAAAATAGAAAATACCTAATCTGTAAAGACACTGATGACAGCTGTCCCAGAAGACAAGTTTTAAACCCTTCTGAGTGTGAAGCAGTAATAGCATTTTAACATGTTTCAATAATGCCATCCAAAGAGAGAGATTCACTTCATGGTCTGCTAAGTCAGGTCAGCATTTCATACTGGCATGTGTGTGAATCCTTATCATATAAGGAATCAAATTTCTGAAACCTTTTTCTTAGATATATCCCTGCTGGGCTCTAGCTTGTTTACTGAGCTCAAATGGTACCAAGAGTTTCCTGGAGGATGGGGTTGCAGTTTTGCCACCTGATTCAAATGTGTCTGTGCAGGAGGACAGCAGGAAGGGATGATTCCTCCTGGGATATATTAATCAAGTTGATTCATCAGGCAGCCATACAGACATACACTTGGCTTCTCACCGGTGCAAGCAAGTTTGTATCAATATCAAATTTTTTAAAATAATTCTTTTGGTGAAACATAAGCAAGACTATCTGAAGCTTTATATGTGTGCTGCTTTCAGGTTTGATGAAACTCTTTGTTAAGGGTATGGGTAGAAGTCTGTGAATTCAATAAATTGTGTACCTTTTCCAAGAAACTGGTTGTAAGCAAAAGCCTCAGACTGCTATCCATGTTCATCATAAGCTTTATGGGGAGGCTGTACGTACACAGCAATGAGACAAATCCAGAATAGTCCAAGGAAGGAATCTGAGGGAAACTTGTTTGCTGAGGAAGTGTTAGGAAACTTAAAACCAAACTTCCTGGCTCAGAAAACAAACTTTCCAATCAGTAAATGTTGTTTCTTTATTTGGCATCGTCACACCTGCATTTAGCAATGCATGTCTAGTTAGTAATAATAGTTCCTTACCTTAAATAATTTTAATGAAGTTTAGCTCCTTTCTATATTCAAGCATTCTTTCATTTGAGCCAGGTCATTTAGCTTACAAATGTTTCAACTACATCACAACATCTATGTTTCAATATTTTTTTCTGAAGAAAGCAGCAAAACCCTGAAGGCTTCCTGAATTTGCATTCCAAGGCTCTGTATTTTTATTTGCTTCATATTTTCTAGAATACAAAAAGCAAATACCAGCTCAGTTTGAGAATGACCGTATCAATTTAGAAAGAACAGTTAAAAATTGGAGGCAGGAGGGTGGGGGAAATGACTTGTAGTATTTCTGTCAATACTATTTTTGTCATTTTCAAATAGTTTTATTTACATGTACGCAAATGTATTTTAATATTTTCCAACACCCAGAATGTCATTGAAAAGTATTCAAACAGTGTAAAAACTTCTAGTCAATAGTAAGTTATGACTTGTGACCTACAAAAATGAATTAATTAAATAATATCCCCCATATGAGCTCTCTTCTTCCAAGTAATAACTGTCAGCTAGATGTATTTGATGATTAATCAGTGCTTATTCCTTTAAATGTCAGGTACTCTTGTCTAAAATGTCAAGCTAAAACTTTTTGTCTTGTAGTGATCCATTTGAAGAAGGTCTTAAAGGAATTCAGAATAAGTCTAAGGTTAAGAATTATTTTTGTGGTTTGGAACATGCATCATTGAGCAAATTAAAAGGTTTGTCATGTTGTCCAGATGGGGAACTCATTTTGATGGAAATAATTATAAATTTTGAGAATTTTTGGAGTGAAATACTATGTATGATCCCAAAAAAAAAAGAAAGAAAAAAAAGCTTTATGTCAGCTATAGCTCTTTCCTTTTTTCCAGAAGGGATGATATAGCAAAGTAATGAAAGGATAGAACAGTTTATTTTGTAGCCAGGTGATATGGCTAGAGAAATAGAGCACTTGAGTGCCAAGGTGAAACATTTAATGGGCATTTGAATATTGTGAGAGTACTAATTATTTTGGAGTTTAACATAATTATCTTTTGTCTCTAAATCTGGTGGGGCTTCTCGGTCTTTCCACTGACATCCCTTTTTGTACCACAGAGGAGTTTTGTATTTTCTTGGCCAAATTAATACCCTGATGTAACGATTTGCTTGCTACCCTCTTCTGCATCCAATAAATCTGCATCCAGTTGACATTTCAAGAATTCCTGATCACTTAATGTTTTTTTCTTTCATCACATGATCTTATTCACCATATATTATATATTAATGAAGCAGGATAATTAGTTCAGTGCTTTCTTAGGTAAAATGCTACTTGTTTCTCATCTCTGTGCAGTAAACACACAATAGTTTAATCATAATAGTCAAGGGTGAAGAGACAGTAGTGAAGCAATAGAAGGTATATGCAGAAAAGGAATGAGAAGTGAGACCAAGAATTGTGTGAAGGGAATTGATAAAAAGTAGGTGATGTGCCTACAGATAGCAAGTTTCAACCTGCTTTTCGTATTCTTCTTGGTGATGCTGAATGTAGCATCTGTGACATAATACTTACAACTGAGGAGTCATAAAATGAAGCAGGAGACAGGATATGAGGAAAATACCCTTCACCAGGACAGCCAGGCACTGCAGTAGGCTGGGGAGAGGTTGTCTACTCTCTGTTCATGACATTTTTCAATATAGTGTTTGACAAATCCCTGAGTAGTCTGACCTGAACAGGGTCTGTTGATGTTGTGTTGAAGATGGGCTTGGCTAAGAAGCTCTCCTGGTTCCCATTCTAACCTGAATGAATATCTTTCCCATTTTGATCCATGAACATAAGCCAGCATTACTGTTCTCCATAGCACACACTTTAGTAACCCCATTAGAAGACAGATTTCATCTCTTTATTTTCTGTTTCGTAAGGAATACGCTATAGTAGTGCTTCCTCAAAAGTGAAGCTCAGAGAAACTGCTTAGAAAATATGTTACTTTCAACAAATGTATTTAAAGCTGATGAAGTTAATCTTAAGAGCTGCCCAATTTTGATTCACTCATGTAAATTTTATTCACTGTTTTTGTGTGTAAACATGTTAAATCATATTCTTATTACGGGATTACATGTTGGGTTTTCTAGAGGGATGAGTGTCTTCTTCAATGTATAAGGGGAACAGGTTCAGAGAAACTTATTAATCATTATATATGAGGTAATATATAAAAAAAATTAACGAAGATACTTGAATGTCATGGAAGAGAGTAATATTCTGTGGACAGTACTAATGCAGAGTTCTTGTCTGATATTGTACTGATAAATCCTCAATGCAAAAGCATTCACATGGAACCAGAAATTGTATTGTTTGTATAAATAACCTGATAAGGTACAGAATAGATTGAAGGATGTAGCTGATACGTAATTGAGGCTATAAAGTGGAATGATTTGAAGAATGCAAACAATATCTGGATTTTTTAAATGTATCTTACCACCAGTTTACTTGGTAAGTAAGGATGAACACATTTGTATCAGAGGACTCCATAGTGTTAATACCAGTGAAATGTGTTTGTTGCTGGGAGATTCTGTTAAATTCTGTAATTCATGTAAGCTAGTGAAACATTGCTAAAGATCAAAGTCAAAGAATGGTAATAATTCCCATTTGTTTTCTGAATAATGTGCATTTGGAGACAAACACCAGTTATTATAGAATCAAAGAATGCCTGAGATGAGAAAGCACCTCTGGAAACCATCTAGTCCAGAGTCAGACAGAGTAGATCTCTCAGGACAAATCTGGTTGGGTTTTGGTTATCTCCAGAGAGAGAGACTCCACAGGCTCCTGGGCAGCTTGTTCCTAAAGGGGGAAAAACCCCATAAACACCAAGCCAGACCAGCCAGGACCCATCCCACTCTACTCCACCAAGGAAGCAGGATGTCCAGCTCATGGGGCACACAGAAATGGTTGCTGTACAACTTGAGGTCATAAAAGTTAATTGCTTTTATAGATAATAACGTTAAAACTTTAGTTAATCCCAGCCCCCCAAAAAAAAAGGTTTGACCAAAAAAAAGGTTTTAAAGATAGATTTTGATTTTGATATTACATTATTTGTGCAGGATCAGTAATGCAATTTGTATTTTTAACAGTGCAGCCTCAAATAATACAACTTAAAAATGAAACCACATTTGAGAATGGGAAAGCAACCCTCATCTGTGAAGCAGAAGGAGAACCTGTTCCAGAGATTACTTGGAAAAGGGCCATTGATGGAATGACTTTCTCTGAAGGTGACAAGGTAAATCTACCTCTAATTTATAAAATATCTAAATATGCATTCTCTGCCTAATCTTCTTCTTGTAAGCAGAAAATTAATTTACAGACAGATTAATTCTAGATTCCTCTGAAATTAGAAGGAATTGCTATTTTCTAAGGCAGTAAGAGAGATATGGTGATTCTAAATTTTAATTTAAAAAAAGAAGAAAAAAAAAGCAATCAAATGCTGAAAGGCAATTCATCTTAAATTGTCATACTTAATTCCTACTAATGGATTCAATTTCATCTTGCTAATTATGGCTACACATAGCCCTTCTTCAGAATATTTGGATTCTGTCCAGGAATCTTCAAAATACAGCAGAGCTTAAAGATATTTTAAGTTTAAAAAATCTGAATACTTCGTAGTTCTTTATTTCCCACTTTCCCTTTTTTCTTCCAATTTTTTTTCCTGTCACAGAAGACAAACTGAGCCTATTTTCCCATTTTGTCTCCCCAAAATACAACTTCTGTATTTTGTTGCAAAAGGAAGTTGATTAAAGAAAGGTTGCAATATGACAATGGAGAAAGTCAGTTAGTGTGGGAAAAGGAGCTGTAATTAGGTGGAATGGTGAAAACAAAAGGGAATGGTGCAATGCAATTCCTGACCGTGCTTATAGGAAGCTGGGTTTCTACAGAGTTCTTATTCTTTTTCCCTTTGTAATAATTATTTAAGTATTTGAGCAAGTATTTTCTTCTTCATTTCCAGACATAAACTACAGAATTTCTCTGTAGTGGTTGAAGTTAGAGATACCATCTTTCTGGGTAACTAATTCATAATTTTTACCCTAGGTAATTATGTAGTAAATACTTTCTTCTTGCATATTCATAACTGTTGCTTAAAAAACACACACAGGTGAAAACCTATATAGCAATCATTCTCCAAACAGAATTAGATACCTAGTCACTTGGTTCACAGGGAATTGATGTATGTTAAGGAATTATGTACTTTCATTTTTTGTGTTCTAAAGGAGAAGGTCTGGTCTGGTCTAGTCTTTGACTTGACCTTTCCTGGAATTGAGGCAGTTTATTGAGGCTCTGTCTACCATTTCCCTGTTCTGTGATTTCCACTTTGGAGCAATATAGCAATATTTATATATTATTTTTTCTAATAGTTTTGCATTAAGACAAAGCAGTTTCCTCTCTTCTTTAAATATTTCAAGTTAAAGGTCATCTTTCTGACTTGCAAAGACTATGCTTTGTTCAAAGGTTACCAATGTTAGGCACTCACTTATGTTTGAAATTATCCCAAAATAACTTTTGATAAAGGATATTGAAAATGAGAGAAAATAGCAGAAAAAAGCTCAATAATGTTGGTGCAGTTGACACCTGAAATTTATGCAGTGTTTGTATAAGACAGCTTTATATTCTTAATTCCAGCTGCAGGTGGTTAAACTGACGTGTGCTGGAATATTCTCTGAAATGTGGTCCAACTCAGTAATAGTGACAACCAAATGAAAATATATATTCACTTCCTACTGGTGTGCTGACAGAATCTATGTGGAAGATAAAAAGAATGAGAATAAATACAGTCATGTGCTTTCCTTTGTACTTGCCAAAGAAAGAACTCTGTGTATTGCTCATGGGAGAGTTTTTGCTGAATCTTGAATAAATGTTCTGAAATACTGAATATGTCCTTGACCTATAAAATATGCTGCTATATTTGCCCCATCGTCCTCCTGCTCTGACTTACCAAAAGCTTGGCTTGTGCTTTCCTACCAAATTAGGTGAATAGGGAACAAAACTGGCAGTGATTAAATTATTGAATAGTTGTTAAATAATACAGCAGTGTTTTGCACACAGAAAGAGAAGGAAAGAGTGAATTGAAGAAATTGAGGTAGAGCAACATAGAACATAGTCTTAAATAGAAAATATTACTTATATGTGATAAATTTTAAAATAATATCCCATCATGCAACAATGTAAATTATGTATAAACATAAAAATTATTTTATTTATTCCAGGGATTATTATTTTGAGTTTTTGGGTCAGTTTTTTTATATCAACTGCACCTTAGTTTCTATTTCTGTTGAATTAAGAGTATCTTTAGGGGATGATTTTTTTCCACAGAAGATGGAAAAACTTTCAAGCAATAATATTAACACAATGATCATTAAAAGAATACATAAAGTGCTGTTCTTATTTTTTAATTTTACTTTTATTAACTTTAGTATGTAGTTCCTCAATAATATGGTTCTTATTTTGCTAAAATGTAAACTTACCTCATGTGGATAAGGAAGATTGTTAAATGTGAGATCATTCTTAGCGTGCATGGATCCAAAATATTTTCTGTCCAATGATAGATCTTATAACTGGGACATAGACTTTCCCGAGTTTTGAATTTATTGTGTCCAAAAGAATGGAAAATATGCACCAAAGTCATAGATCAAAGAAGTAACCCAGCTGGGCTTAAGGAGGATAATATTAATGAGTATGAGCTCTATAATTATCTCTTTGGAAAATACAGCTTTGATAAAGGATTTTCAGTACCTCAGAAGTGTGTATTTGAAAGTTGAAGCCAAGTTCAAGACAGAAGCAAAGAAGCCTTTTCCTCTGTCCTTTTATAATGTAGCTCTTAGACAATCTACCACACAGTGTGTGGTCTCTCTTTCTGTAAGAATTTGAAATAAAGCGGTCTTTCCCTTTCCTCTGACTTCTCCTGAAAGCTAAGTGAAAATACAGAGGTGAAATGAAATACAGAGGTGTAAAATGAAATACAGAGGTCACACTGGATGACCTCTGTAATCCTTCTGTGGCTGTATAGCCCATAAATACGTGGGGGGTGGGTAAGGTTGAATAAATGAATGGCAGTACGTGCTGCAAGGTGTTTGTCTCACCACTAAAGGTGTAAAAATGGAAATGGAGGCTTAGTCCAAGGCCACAGCTTCATCTGCTGTTTCAGTGTCAAGCAAAAGCTCCTTGCTTGGTGCATGTACTCTGCCTGTGTCCTTCCAGTCCCCAGCACCGCCTGTCCTTGCACTGATGTGCCAACCTGGCCGTGCCCCTTTCAGCTGGGATTTGGAATGGCACATTCCCACAGACCACTGTGCATCCAGCAGGCCTGGCCCTTTTCCCAGTAAAAAGAGGAGGCAGGAGAAGAGCTGCTTTTTTTAGAAGAGGAGGAAAAATAGTGATTGGATTCAATTTGGCGTAATCAGTTATGAAATGGATTTTGGACATGCACATACATCTCTACACACATCCCTGAAGGACAGCACATCCTGATTGCTGATACAAAATTGTCACTGATTCCTGTGTGTACTGCACAAGTGTGAGGACAGAGTTTAGTGGCCCACTTTCATAGGATCTAATTCTAGCAGAAATATGAATGCTGATCAACGTTATTTGTAATTAGCATTTCAAGCCCTGTTTTGGAATACAAATCACAATAACAGATGGGTCTTGATGTGAGACAGTGGCGCCACTGTATGCAGCATGTGTCCAAAGAGGCATATGCTGCATACCCTGAGGAATTTATGATCTAAACACATAAAATGAATGAAAGGAGCCAATACAGAGAGGTCCCAGTTGCAACTTGTGTGTTGGATTTAGGGTAGGATTTTATACTCTATTTTTTACTGTACTATGTACTCTATTTCATACAGATTCACGGAATATCTCCTAAATACCTTATACTATTCTCCTTGTACCACCAAGGAAAACCCAACCTGTGATTTTTAATTTTATAATGATCACTGCAGAAATAGTTTGAATTCTGCTTTCTTCCATTGCAATAATAACCTGGTTCTCCCTGTGAAATTTCTTGTGACATTGTTTCTAAATATTGCAGAGTTCAGACTAATAATTAATTTATTTTCCAAGTTTGAATTCACTTTGTATTTGCATGCAAATCATAAATATTTATAGTGTGGAGCTTGTAGACTTTTTCATGGTTTTCATGATCAGACAATAAGCAAAGGTAATCTTTTTCTTTGAAAGGTCAATTCTATTTTTTCCCAAGCCTATTAACTTCACTTCAGCTATTACAAATGCTATTAAAAAGAATCTGAAGTTTTTTTACTCCCAGTTGGTTTTCCCTGCACAAAAAGAAGCAGTCTTACAGTGTCAGTGAAATATGTTGTCCTTCTTTTTGAAATGTGAGCCCTATTAAATGCTTGCTTATCAAGGAACAGGTCTTTATTTGAAATAAATCACAGAAAACAGAGATGAATCTAGAGTATTTTAATTGATTCCAAGAAATAGCTTTTTTTTTCTGAGCTATCCAAATCCTGCTCTTTATGAATAATTCTCCTTTGAATAGCTGGTAAATATACAAGGCCAGTCTCTTTTCTCTATTGGAGAAAATTGTTATAACCTGTTTCACCTACATATTGTGGTGAAACAGGTTATAACCTAGGGAAAAGCTCCTATTTACAATATCATATGAATGTTTTTGTTGTTGCAATATTGGCACAGGCCTGGAAACCAGAACAATTTATGTAACCAGCCACAATTGTGTTTGATGGTGCAATTGAAATACTCTACAAACAATTCAGTCAGGCATCAAAGTTCTCTTGTATTTTGTTTTTAAGCCCCAAATGAATTTTAGTGGACATCACATATTAAGACTATGACGTTAGAGACCAAGAATATTGTGACTGGAAGAAGGTAAATAAATGAACAACAGAGTCACTTATATGTTAGGTAATAAATGCTGTTGAGAATATAGAGCTTTATACCCTGTGTCATAAGCAAATAAAGGGCCATATATGAGCACTTAATAGTAGAATTTCAGGAGCCATCCGATCCATGGAAATCTGAATAATTTTTGGTGTTCCTTCATCAATCTCTAATTTTGGGAGGTGACAATATTTGAGCAAGAAGATTGATTTTGCAGGAGTAGGATTGTATTCAGTTAGAAATAAAGACCAGCTTTCCTGTGTGACCTGAGGAAAAACTGTGAGCTAATGTGGAAATTTTCAAGTTCTCAAGTAGCTCCATCAGTGGTCTGAGCTCCACACAGTCCTTTAGGTTACATTATGTGCA